GCTCCCAAAGAGACAAACGATAAAAACAACCTTCTCTCCAAAAGAAAACATACAAGAAATACAATTTAAAGAGGGAGAAAGAGATCCAATTAACTCCTTGTGAATTTATTACCCACAAGCAACCTCACTGCCAGGTAGAAGCGGGCAAGGCAGCCAGGGTGCACAGGGAAGGCAGCTTGGGGCAGGGGCTGAGGCAGAACCACAAGAAACACCTGGTGCACAGCAGCATGTATGAAACCATATGGAAACCCCATCTAGGCATTCAAGATGGCTTCACTTTGATAGCATATTATCAGGAATATTTTTACAAGTATGTGTTTCATGCTGCATGCCTAACACTCCTGGTCTTGGAAATCCTTCACTGCATCCCTTCCTCCATTGCGTTACAGTGCCATTTCACTGGTTTTGAAGCTCACAGCCAAACTCCAGGAATTGTGAAGTCGGATGTAGAGAGAAATATAAACCTCCCCTGCACCCTGGAGAAGATAAAGCTATGGTCAGGTATGAATGAAGCACATTATTATGCTGTGCAGCTGATGTCTTTTGCACAAGGAAAGCAGAGGCCCATGCTGCTGGCTCATGACAGCACTGATTGCTCCTCTGGCCTGGCAAGAGGTCAGCACATAATTCAGTTCATCCTTATGCTTGGAGCAGCCGCACTGCTCTCAAGCACTGTCAGAGACTCATGCCTTAGCTTTGGCACTCTTTTTGAACACGCTGCCTCGGTTTTGCACACAGCAGCCCAATGAGGGCCCAGAGCAGCCCATCTCTCTTCCCTGAGCTCATTGCTCTTCCCACACTGGTGATTTGATCTGAAATCTACTTCAGCTCAGAACGGTTTCCTGGGGCTTCAATGCACTAGACTCCAGGCGCTGTACCCAAAAATTTCTGTGAGAATTTCCTGGAGACTGATACCTTTTAGAAGGCAGGTTTAAAACTGGGTATTTCTCCACTTCTTTTGGGGATAGCATGTGAGCACCTTTAATGTTTTATCTGTCTCCCAGAGTGTAGTATATACAACCTTTGGGCATGTCACAGTTAGAGCAAAGCTCCGTTCTGTTCTTCCTATCCAGCAGTTCAATGCCTCCCAAGGGCAATGCATGAGGCAAGGGAGTTCAGTAAAACACAACATTGCATTTCATAGCAGATAAAAATGAAAGATCAGTGTCCATCGGGTCGTATCTGCAAAGCCACAAAGCTTTGCTTCTAAAAATTGAAAAAAGACAATGACTAAAGAAACAAGAAGGAAGTGTTATTATGTTTAAGTTGTATGATTACATCTTTCTGATACGGATGGAACTAAGCTGCTCAGATGAATAAAGAAAGGGTTTGCTACTTAGATTTCTGGAAATTTTAACTGGTATAAGAGCATCAAGACTTTTCCCTGAAAAGTCTGTATCAGATGGAAACAAAGAGGATAGATCTGCTGTCATTCTCATCCATGTAAGGTTTCTCATGACTTGCACCTAAAAAATGTGTGAGAAAGGCAGAAAAAGCAGCAAACTACATATTGTGGGAGCATGGTATATGCTTATTCGCTTTCTGCAGGCATGGGAGTATTTAACTTTGATAAACATTGCAGGTTTTAGTACACTGAAGTTCTCTGTTTTCTCACCGTATTTAGGAATATTTGGTATCTCTGTACTTTTAACAGAACAACTAAAGCATTTGGCTTTTTTAGCTTCAAGTTTCTTTTGCACAATCACTTTTAATTGATAATTCTTACTTTAAACTTCCTTGGAAATCCTTGATATGAGTGACATTTGTACACCTGGTGAACTATAGGAAAAAATCTAATTGAGGAAATTTCCTGGACAAGGGCATACAGTTAAAGAAAATAATATGGTACGATTTAAAGTGAAATACTGGATTAAAATATTGGAGAGATTTTATATTTATTAAAGACTTTAATATCCTTATGATGCTGATTGATAGCCTCAAAATGGATGCAAGAAGATGACATGATGATGCATGTCATGAAGTGATAGGAGATGATGAAAGCTGTCAATATTCTCCATTCAGTCAGAAAATATCTATCGGAAATTTCAGTCAGAGCTTGAATAAAAATATTTTTTCTGGGGGAAGATTGTGCAGAGTTTGTTCTATGTTTGAGAGGGTGAGTAGGAAATAAGGAGCAGCGGGCAGAAGACAAAAATAGAGAACTGGAAATGAACTCAAAGTTGAAGTTCCTCCTGTTAAAGTCAGCAGGGGGCACTATTGGCAGCGTTTGTATCCTGCATTTTCCTCCCCGCTGTAGTTACATGGCAGCATTTTATAGAGTCTGCGTGTAGATCGCCGTATCAGTTCTGTTTCGAGTTTGTCGTCTTCTGACACACATATCTACATAGGTACTCTTATATTAATATTACCATTTTAGAATTCAAAGACTCTGTTTAAGTTCAATTAAAATATTTGGGTTTACATATACTAATTGAAGAATTCCGTATTTTTAGTGTGATTAGCACAACTGAGAAAAGTCTATAAAATATAGTATGTAAAAAAGTACTGTAATTGTAATTAAAGTTCTGGGGCCTCTACATTTCAATAAAATAGCCATATTAAAAGCAAGGGCAATTCCCATTTTTCCTTTGCAAAACAATGACTTGGCATGAAAGGACTTTTCATTTTCTGCCCAATAAAATACTGATCATTCACACTGTCATGAAATCTTAAAGCTGGAACAAAGGGTTTCAAATTGAGTTTGACTGAATGTGTTAACAATTCAAATGAGCCTTTTAGAATAAGTTAGAGCAACCAGGCACATGAAGAACAGAGAGGAAAACTGAATCTGTCAGCAGCATTGCCCTTTGTAATGTCAGAGTATCAGGATCGGAGATGGGACAGGCAATGGAAAGAGATGGATAGAGGGGTATGGCTAGCAAATAAGAGACAAATATTACCACAGCATATGCAAAGAGAATGTTTACTAAAATTCAATAAAAAATTAGGTTAAGACAGAGTCTGTGCTGGACGGAAGGAACAGTGATGACATAGGAGAGCAGGAGAAGGAAGATGGGCACTATCTAGCACATAATTCAGCTTTTACAGGAAGAATAATATGAGCCTTTGGCTTCTTTGACACCATGCTTCTCTCCTTCCCTCCCCTGATGCAGATGCACCCATCTTCTTTTGAAACCTAGTCAGAAATATGAAGGAAACAAACCTTCCTAGATTCCTAGCAAAGAAGATTCTACATTAAGGTCCTACTGCCATCTGCTTATCTGAACATGCAAAGCATGTCCTCCATAAGAAGGCAGGCTGTAAACATCCTTCAGATAAGACAGTAACTGAGAAATAAGAGGAACTTTAACAGAGAAAGCCAAGAGTGAGAGCAGATGAGATACTGACCAGTTCCCGAGCCAGCAGGATACTCCTCAAAAGCCCGTAATCCCTAAAACTGATGAAAATTGCTCTACCTTAAAGGCAATAACATACACAGTTTGCTAGGTTTTGATTTAAAAAAGAAACAAAACCAAAAATACAAATGTTTCTCGGCAGAAGAACACAGATGTTGGATACTTTTGACACTTGGAATATATTCAGCCAATTGACTGCCTCTGTGCACCTTGCACTAAGGTAAACAGCTTGGTCTAATCTGCCACCTCCTCCTCTCACAGCTGAAGAACTTTAAATGGAGACATTATTTTCCAAGAGGCATACAACATAAAAACCAGTCATTTCCTCTTTTCATCTGAAAACACTAAAATTCAGATACACTACAACAGATCCAGGCCCCTAGCAATGTAAGAACCAACAATTTCAACAGTGGTTCCTCTAACGGGAAGCTTTGTGCTTCCTGCATTGTGGCTTAAGACTTTAATAAACATCTAACAAGTAGAGATGGACCAAAAAAAAAAAAAAAGAAGAAGCATTTTGATCTGTAAAATAAAACCGGTCTGTCTATATGTTTCACAAGAGGATGCTGGAGACCAGAGCCCCCCAAATAAGTTTCTTTAAGCAACTGAAAAGAAAACCTTTGTTGGTCCATCTCATAGACAAAAGCTGAAGCTTAACCCTCCTTAAATAGTAATCCACACAGGAAACCACAGGAAACCAGATTTGTGTGGTCTATTTGCTTATTTTTCAGCCAACTAACAAATCACATTATTTAAAAAAAAAGTAAAATGGTTAATAAAAACTGAATGTGGTCTTTAATTATAGTCTTTTATACAAACTTTCACTTTGCCATTAGCTGGGTTGTGAAGGGCCTTCTGGAAAAGGATAAAAAAAGACTGGAAGAGGAATCAAACAAAGCACTCCTCTGGCATTTGCTGTAGGAGAAACAGTTGTTGCTTCCTGGTACTTCAGGTTTAATACAAGTCAGTTGCTTGTTGACCTTAATCATTCAGATATCTTATCTTGATCTCCCTAATAAAGCCATCATTTCAGGTGTGCACATAGAGGACCATGATTGGGGTAGGTCTTCAGAGAGTTGAGATTTTCAGAGTTTACAAAAGTGGATCAGATTTCTTAAAGCCATCCTGCAGGCTCAGCTGTGTCCTGTGGCAGGTGTGAGAGGTTTAATCTCACCTGACAACAGCCACCTAAAATATGGACATGCAGTTTTACCCTGTCACGCAAGTTCCCCCTTGAGTCAAAAGATAAAAATGGTCACCTCTAGGTAGCAGCTCAACAGCTCCCTCCTAAAAGAGGCCTCCTAGAAATGCTACTGCTTCCATTAGCTAGAGAGTCCAGACAACAGAATAAACACTCAAGCCAGAGGGAATGGACACCACTCTTAAAACCTTCAAAATAAAGCGCTTCAAAAGCTCTAGTCTGGTGCTTATCCAAGGGATGAGCTCCTCCAGAAGCCACGTCCCAGCTGCAGTGACAGCCAAGTAAATACTTGGTAGGATTGCTAATCTCTGGTAGGTGTTCTCCTCTTACAGAGCTGCTAACAAGTCTTGTGCCAGTCTTTACCATATTTACTAGCCTTAATGACAGAACACAAAGTACTTTGCTAAGAATGATTTGTTACTCACTGGGGCCATCTTACTTACTGTTATGATGTGATTTACTGTTGGGAAGGGACTGCCCTTGGATGAAGCTTCAGTGGGACCAGCATCAAGAGCATTGGGTTCTGAAATGAGGGATGCCTTTAAAGAAAAAGCAGCAGAAATGCACATTTTTATTCTGAATGCTGTTTAAGAAGGAAATTCCCTCCCTCCCAGGTTAGTATACAAATGCTTGGCCCTGTCATTATATATGATTGCACAATGAAAGCAAATAATGTTGCAAATCTTGCTATACCCCCTTTCTGATGAACACACTGTATATTTGAACTGTTGAAATAATCATTTCAAAAATAAGCAGTTGTAATACATAGTATCAAGAGAAAAATGCTGGTTATTTGTTCACAGGTTAATCCTATGGTCAAAACATTAGGACTCCCATAGCACACTTGAATGCATTAATTGCTTCTCATCTCCCACACGTTAAAAAAAGAGATTATTTCCCACACACACATTCTTTAAATAGATGAATGATTCTGCCATCTTGTGGGAGACAGAGAAATCTTAACTATTAGTAGGATAACAACAGCAGGACAGAATATTATGGAACAGAAATTTCTTCTCTTTTTTACTTGTTTCACTATTCTTTAAATGAACAGACATTAGTAGCTAAATGTATTTCAAATAACCTCCAAAATAAGAATGAATTATAGCCTCAAGGAGGAAGCTGAGAAAAGCAGTTGATGTTTAAGATACTGACTTTACTAGAAACTTTGCTCGGAAGTTAAAGCAACTAAAAATCCTGATTTTTTTTTTTTTTCTCCTTGATTATCTGATAATGTGAACTATGTAAACAATTATTTGAATTCTTTCATGTTTGTTAAACTATAAGCATTAGGTAAGGATAATCTTTTCATAAAATACAAAAAGATAAAATTATACAGACTTCTATCTGTATTTAACCTTTTAAAAATGTCAAATTAACTTCCATATCTGGATTGTGCAACACAACCCTCTATTAATCAGTCTACAGTATACTTTTACAAAATTAGTAGGTTAGTGTATCGTTAATTTGACTTTGGCTGATACAGGTTGTATCCCTATTCCTGGCAATGTAATTGACATAAAATACTGCTTGCTCTATTCTACCTTAAAATTTAACAAAGAGTATGCTGGAATAACAACTATTAATTTAAGCAAGTATAAATGACAGTTTAAGAGAACAAGAGGTGAAAAAAAAATTATAGACCAGATTCACCTCAAAGTAATTTTGTAGATGCTCTCCTCCCACTCCACCTTTCTCAGCAGGTGAAAAACAAACAGTAAGTTAAAAATATATAACATGAAACTGTATGTGATCACCACTGTTCTTGGGAACCTCTGAAGCTCAAGAGAGTGTCTTCTGCTAGGAAAGATGAGGCTTAGGTGGAGCAGCCTGAGAGACACTTTTATCCTTTGGCACTTGGCACTGTAAGCCTCCATCAGGGGAGTTACTTTGAGCTGTTCTCTCCTAACCAAAAATTACCTCAGAGAAACAAGCTCATCTAGTTTCTGTTTCTTTGTAACAACTGAAACGAACTCATCTAGTAAATCTAACACAATGTCATAATAAAGCTTCTTGGATCAAGTACAACTGCATTTGTGCTTACATAACTGCTTACTAAGACCATTACTTTCTTTTAAAGATCAGCAGTTTAAGTGAATATTTTATTAAGTACTTTGAAAATATAGATCTGAAAACCAGAATATAATAAGAAGGAACACAGTAATTTAATGTTTTTGTAATTTCTTGATAATGTAGTTTGGGAAGTATCTACAAAGATAAGGCAAGCCTAGATCTAGATCTCAAATTCCCCAACTCTGAGTGATTTGGTTTGAAGGTAACAAGAGAACACACTCCACACTGACAAACAACCCATCTACCTCTGCCACTCTGTCTCCTGCTTCTACCTCAGCCAAGTCTGTTGGACCATCTTTCTGCAGCCGTGCAATCACGATCCCCTGGTAACACAAAAGACAGGTTTCAGACCTGACAGGGTTTCTTGCAGTGTTCTTAGATGTTAAAAGTAAACAGGAAGTAATTAATTTGCAGGACTTGTTGTTCTGCTGCCTCTACTAAAAGAACAACTAAATGTCTTAGCATATTAGGAAGAGAAAAAAGTCTCCATGGCTGACACATATGACAATGATCAAAAGTCCGTGACTGTTTACTCTGTGCCAAGGGGGACAGACTGGGAAACAAAGATTTATTTAAATGATAATTAAGGGAGATGATGTGAGAAATACTTCTCTCAAATGAAGTTAGCTCCTGGGAAGAAGCAAATGGGATGGGAGAGGCACGTGGATTGCCAAGCGAGTGACCCCAGACTGAGGTAGAAAGTGAGGTAGCACACAGTGTTTCAGACAACAGATTGTGTTTGGAAAATCAGTGTTTTACATCGTGTTTTCTCTCCAAAATCATCCCTCCAGGAGCTTCCCCATGAAAATCTACTGCCGGCTTCTACTTCAGGAAATATAACCTTTACCCTTGTTAGCTTTATTACAAAGATAGTGATGTTACACTGAGGACAATCTCAGAAAGAAAACAACAAAACACAATAGCTTTATAGAACTGCTCATCAGTTTCTTTCTCATGTTTACTAGATAAATTTTGAGTTGTGAAATGCACCTCATCATTGTCTGTATATGGAGATGAGCCCTTTCCACCAGCAATGCTAATACCAAGACTCCCCATTTGACTGCACACAGTAATGGTTACCTGGAAAAGAATTACAATGGGTAAGTGTCTGATTAATGAGAAACATTGCCTATTAATTACATGAACGATGAAAATTTACCTCCCACTCTGAACACCAGCAGATTTGCCCCTGTAGAGCCTGACCCAGATCAAAATGGTGCTGTGCTTCAACACTGGCATATGCAATACCAGTCTTTACTCTTTAATAACACCAAGAATGCATTATTTCTCCAGATTTGATAGTCATGCAAAAAATATGCAAGGCTGTTTATAAGGCTGCTGACCAGACTAGTTGTTTCCTAAAACCCACTGATTTACTGAGCATTCACAATGGCAACAATGCCAGTACACAGGAGGAGTGAAAAGTAAATATTTTTTTAATAAGTTTATGAAAAACCTTTGCTTTAGAACCTCATCTAGAGTCTGATTTTCTTGCTCTCAATACCCTATCAGTCAATTGAAAGCCATCCTGACAGATGCTGTTTAAACTTAACATACCCTCATGCTCAAGACTTCACAGGTCCATGTCACCAACAGGTCCCAGCACGGGTGCCACACCAGGTAAGCTGCCTTTTTTCCTAGTGCTGCATCCTGTGAGACCGGGGCTGCTGCACAGATTCTGCATTTCTCGCCCCACAGGTGATCACCAGAGGTGTGATCTTTACTGGAAGACCCCTGTGAGCCAACCCATTAAGCATATTTTCTTTCCATGTGCTCCAAAGCATGCGAAGATGGGATATATCCGTCAGAGTTCAGGGTACAACTTTCTCCATAAAATTCAGCTCAAGTCTTGCAGTCCTCTGATAAATTTTCACTTGAACATTCCCATCCCTTTTCATGGGATGGAGACTTTCTCATGCCATGAGGGTAAGGCTATGCCATTGTTCCTATACCATGGACTAAATGAAGACTTAGCTGAGTGCCCACATGCACACACCCTCAGCTTGACCTTACAGTACTAAAACTGGATATATAAAATGAGTCAGTATCAAACGGCTACAAAGAAAATATTTACTTTTTTTTAATGGAAAACTCTTTTTCCATATAAGCCAGTGGGCGCAAGCCAAACCTCAGCTCTGTGAAAGAGAAGTCGCAGACAACTACCATGTAATGTCTCCTCTTCTTTGCATCTTTTATAAATTGCCTCACACAAGAACTGGACCTCCCCCATGGGCATATGGGCTTCCCCAACAGCAAGCCCAGCCCATGCAGCAATTGAATACCTTCAGCGGGGGCTGCGGCACATCCACTGCCCTCGATTCCTCCAGGATGCGTCTGCTCTCACTGGGGAAGCTGCCTGCAGCTGAGATGGGTGGCTGCACCTTAATGTTAGTCCCTTGAAGAGTCTTCCCTTTCATTGCCGACTTGTGCTTTTCTTGAAGAGCTGTTCTGGTATTTCTTTGATCTCTCATGCTATCATCGGTATCAAACAGACTGCCAGAAAACTTGGAAATAGGTTCCTGGGGGTTAGAGATAAAAAAGATAAACACAGCAACAGCAAGGAGAATACCTATCTGATACCTAGACCCTACCTGTGATAAATTGAATTTGTTTCTCTCTATCACATTGCTCTACATTAGGATTTGTTTTCCTAAAGACAAATCTGTAAGTTTAAAGCAAATGTGCAAGTATCTTTTACCATTATTATTTTACCATTGGTTTTCCTTCAATATAGGGGTAGAAATTATGGAACCTAGGAGAGGACTGGTATTCATACAGACTCTCACTGCATCCCCTGGCACACACAAGCACATATAAGACACCCAGCTAAGTCCTGCAATGCCCTGTATAAAGGATGGAACATGAGAACGACTATTTAGGGAAGCTTCTGGAAGCTCAGTAGCACTGAATCTGTTGTCCAAGCGCAAGGAACCACATGCATAAGGCAAAGGAATGGGCAGAAAGTAAAACATTTCTTTTCCATGCAGAAAGGAAAACATTTCTTGTAGTTTCTTAAAGTTCACATTCTATTGTTGGGATCACAGGTGTGAAAGGGAAGGCAAGACCCTACCTTGCATCTACATCTGTAAGAAAAGATTTCGTTTGAGTAATTGGATTGACTTTATTTAGCTGCAAATGGCAGTAAGTGAAGACCTGCAAACTTAGTGATTTAGGGGTCCACTGGAAGTGGAGCCTCAAAGGTGAGGCATCCTGAAGCCTTCTTTGAAGCTTGGCTCTAGGCTGTACCTAATCTGAGATGCAGTGAGGAATTGACAATATCACCACAAGCACTTGAAAAGAAAAATACACAATTAAAACACATCCACCAAACAATCAAAGCTTCAGACAAGTTGGACTACAAAACACAATTTTCCAGCTATCGGTTATCTTGGCTAAGTGAAATTCAGCCTTGATGTCTAAATTCTAAAAGAAGGGGAAGGTGGAGACCCGGGAAACTACAGACCAGTCAGTCTC